AGGCCAGCCTGGGCCACATAGCGAGTTCAAGGCCAGCCTGAACTATGTAGCAAGACCTTATCTCATAAAAAAAACCTAAACTAAACTAAAAAGAATTGCTTCACCTCCCTGGGATCTCAAATCTATCTTTTTCTCCATTTCAAATGCTACTGCCCCTCATCTCAGGTTCTGCTCATCTGTCATAATGGATTTATATGATAGTCTCCTACTTGTTATCTGTGGCTCAAATCTTGCCTAACGTACTCATTTTTTTCTTTATACTACTACCTAATCTTAAAAAAAAGTAAATCTGATTCTGATATCACTCCTATATTTAACACCTCACCCACTTCAAGACAGCATCTTACTATGTAGTTCACACTGGTTTTAATTTATTATGTAAGCCAGGCTGGCCTCAAATTCAGGATCCTCTTGCCTCAGCCTCCCAAGTTCTAGAATTACAAGCCACCATGCCCAACTTATTTAAACGCTTTTAATGACCCCATATCTACATGGTTAACATGAAGCCTCCTGAGCACTGCAGATACTCACGATCAGATGCCATCTCATTTTTACTCCTTCTCTCACCTTTTCCCAAGTGTTATTCCTGTAAAATTAGTTTTAAATGTACCTGGCTATGTCATGCCTATCTTCACACCTGAACTGTTATTTCTACTTCACTTTTTGTAACTATCATATCACTTACCAAAGTGCACATGCTATTATTTGAATATATGTTTATCTCCTCTATTAGAATAAAAGCTCCTTGGGCTGGGGATTTAGGTCAGTGGTTCCACTGCCTGCTTCACAAGTGCCAGGTCTGGAGTTCAGTCCCAGGTACAAAAAAAAAAAAGCTCCTTGAGAACAGAAGCCATTTCTTATTTAATTTTGAATTCCCAAAAAAGAATCTGGCACACAGTAAGCATTCAATAAATATTTGCTTGTATGTGCTCTGGATAATGCTAAAATCCTAACTCTGTATGAATGAGTTGTCCTGACTTTCAGTCCCTTCCATATTTCCCACACCTTCCCATATCCTCTGTCCTTTATTTCCAGGGATGACAGACTCTCTGTACCTTAATCTTATAGTCATCTCCTCCAGAGACGAATAGTGGCTGTTGCTTATGGAAGTCAATGCCTCGTACTGGCCCTGGGGAAGAAGGCAGATGAAAGATGTTAAAGACAGCTATTCTTTCAAATCCCTAAGGCAGTAATGGCAAATCTTTTAGACTTATTTATTACAAAGTGCCAATACTACAATTAAAGCTGATTATCCAATGCTTCCCTACTGGGGCAACTTGGCTTGCATGCTGACAGAGAGGGCTCTTCAGGCCTGTGGTGGCACGTGCTACAGGTTTGTCACCACTGCTCCAAGGTGATTCCTATTCAGGATTTTTCAGTTCTACCCCCAAAACTGAGTGTGTTTTTGTCCGCTCATTTGTTTTTGTTTGAGAGACAGGGTCTCACTGTCACACCCAGGTTGGTCTCAAATCCCAGGGCTCAAGTGACCAATCCATCACAGCCTCCCAAGTGCTAGGGCCACAGGTACATGCCATATCCTCTGGCTTCCCTTCCATTTTTTTTAAGTATATGTTTGTGATATATAATAGTTACATTGATCTTTGAAAAATTGTATGCATACATATCACATCTTCCTTCCACACTGTTTAATCCTAAAGGAATCTATGTCAAATAGGACTTAAACTACCCTAGAAAACAATAAGACATATCTCTTTTAACTTTGTCGTAGAAACTATCTTACCATCATGTTCATCAAACTTGTCAATCAGGGTACACATCCGATAGTCCCATAGCTGGATGACACCATTGTGTAAACTGGTCAAGATCCAGGGTCGTTTGGGGTGGAAACTGAGCCCTGTGTGGCAGGAGGAACAGAAATTATATGATGAGCTAAGTAATGTCACTTTCTGTCAATTATGATAACAAAAAGGATCATAAGTTTATCCATTCATTCAATGTAGTTTTTATGGGATGCCAGACATTGCAATTTTTTGTTGTTAGATGCTAGACTTTTTAACGTTCTCAGTTAAGATTTATTTTGAGAATCAGTTAATAGTAAGAACAATAAAAGTGGGCCAGGTAACAGCAAGGTCCGGAGTTCAATCCCAGGGACTGCCAAAAAAAAAAAAGAACAATAAAAGTACAGGAACTGATGAATTTGTTTGTTTTACTGTGGCAACACACTTCCTCTTTTATTAGTACAGTTTGCAGTACATAATATTTACATCCCTTGTGTGGAGCTGGTACATACATGTAACACATCTTAATTCATTTTTTCATCTTGTATCCCTCCCCTCCCCCCTTTGAAAAAGATCTATCTTTCTACATTCTATTATCTATCTTTTATTTTGCTCTTTATTTATACTTTGGGTTTCTGATGTAAGAGAAACCATGGAATATTTAAACTTGTGCGTTAGATGTATTTCACTTAACATTATGGTCTCAAGGGGCATCTATTTTCCTACAAATGATTCAAGTTTTCCTTTTTTCTTTTTTTCTCTCATTGAGCACGTACAAGCAAATATTTATTGGTACATTTTAGGTATACAGTACAGTTATATTCATCATTGAGATGATTCAAGTTTTTCTTTATGGCACAGTAGTACTTCATTGTGTATAAATACCATATTTTCTTTATCCATTCATCCATTGATGGACATATAGGCTGCTTCCAAGATTTAGCTGCTATAAACATGGGCATGCATGTATCCCTGTAATTCTGTAGTGTTATAGATGGAATTTAAGTGCTGGACTTCTATTATATTCCTTTAAATATTGTTGGGCTTTTTCTAGAATTCAGTTAAATTACTTTGAATCAGTCGATCATTTTAAGGCTCACTTTTAAGTTTTGTTACAGCAGCCACTAGTGCAGGTCAGCGATGGTGAACCTTTTCGAGTTTTCAATGATACAAATAGCCCACAGCAGCACATGTGCCATAAGAGGTTTGCCACCACTGATCTAGGTCTAATTTGGAACTATTACTAATGTCCTGAGATGCTTTATCTGATGTTCTTAATATCAGGAAGTCTTTCCATTTGGCCAGGTAAGAAGACAAACTATTCTCAGCCCTTTGTGAGATCCAGGTATAATACTTTATCCTTTTCCATGGTTCTTTTTTAAGTTTTGATAGGTTTCTCACGTCCATAGGCAAACTGGTACTGAGACAAAGGTGTGAGGTAACCCCTGGCAGATCTTCAGTGCTCTCTCTGTGCAACTACCCTCTTCTCTGTTTTTTTTTTTTTTTTTTTTTTTTTGGTACTAGGGATCGAACTTGGGTCCTTGTGCTTGCGAGGCAGGCAGCAGCACCACTAAGCTAAATCCCTAGCCCTCTTCTCTGGCATTTCTGCCTAGCAAAATTTAGCCATTTTAGCTTCCCTGAACTCTAAACTCTCTTTGGCTAGTCCATAGAGCTCTTCCCTATTCTTTCACGGCAGTCAGGAAATGCTTAGAAGACTCGCTTTATTTTCTGCACTGCCTGTGGTCCTATCTCTGATAACCTTTGTTCTATACATTTTGTTGTGTAGCATATAACACAGAAAGGTAAACTGGTCCTTGTTAGGCAATCATAACCATAAATGCAAGTCCCCACAGGTAACAACTGCTATCAGTTTGCAGCACATCGTTTAAGAAATTATTAGGAGAGGACTCAAGGATAAAAAAGGCCCATTTCAACCATCTAGCTCCCAGAAATTCTTAATGGTACCCTTCACAATGAAGATTCCCACGCAATTTAGAAACTGCTCAGAATATATTCTCATATGAATAAAGTCCTCCTGTTTTTGAGCTAGTGAGTCTAGCTAAGCTCTGTAATACATACTTTCCATAGACTTTCTCATTTTAATTCTGTCAGAGGATACTAATACCCTTATTTTAAAGATGAAGAGGGCTGGGGATTTAGTTCAGTGGTTCCGCCACCTGCCTCACAAGCACAAGGTCCCTAGTTCAATCCCCGGTACCAAAAAAAAAGAGGAAATATAGATCAAGATAGTTAGTGGATATTTTAGGATTGCAAAGCAACCCCTCCAGATTCCAAAGAACAAGTTCTTAACCACTATGTTGCATCTTACTAAACATTCCAGATATATTTTTCCAGTTGTTATTGGACCTTACTTCTCTGATATTCTCATTTTAACATTTTGAGAAACTACTGCAATCTCATCCCTCCAAAATCAAAACAAAACAAAAACAGTTGCCCTTCAAAAAAGAATTACTAAACTTTATTCGCTGTTTATCTGAAATTCAAAGCAAACTGGGTTTTCTGTATTTTATCTGGTAACTCCACCGATCTCAGACATTACTGGAGCTACAGGCCTCAAAGCACTATTTCCAATAATAAGGTTCAATGGAAGCTCGGGACGTCGAGATGGCGGAGTCAGACTTCCTTATGGTAAGTAGCCAGTGCACTCTCCGAGAAAAGATACGACGACTTAAGTCCAGACTCAGTGCTCAGGGATGCTCCATACACGATCATAAAAAAGCCAAAAGGTCACAGGGCTTTAGGAACGGAAGAATAAAAGTCGGGAGCACAGCCCCCAAGAGAGGAGGGGCAGGGAAACGGGGAGCAGGCCTAAGAGGTATCCTGCGGTGCAGGAACCGTTTCAAACGTAAATCAAAGCCCCAGAGCACACAGAGAAGAGAGGACTGCAAAGCTGCCCGCTAGGCCTGACCTCCCTGGGTCTTCCTTTGGGTTATCCGGTGCGCCCAACTAGACCCGCAAATCCACCAGTTCTTTCCCGGTGACAGCGCCGCCCCTGACATCCAGCATCCATGTTACCCCTTTTCTTTTCCATTACCTTTGACTCGAGCGCTCTTGGTCTCGAACTTGGTTAGCATCCTTCACGATTAGGGCCCCGACCGCTCTGACGGCTCCGACGTCCGATTACCCGGTCCACCACTCCCTGCTGCACTTCAGACGCCTCCACGTCAGCGACCCTCACCCACAGCTCCCGGAAGCTTCGCCACATGGAACTTCCGGTCTCTGGAGCTCCGAGCCACAGAGACGGCGGCAGTCGTAGCCTAGAGAGGCCGCTAAGTGACTAGAGAGGGAACTGAGGTTTCCGCTCTGCGGAGAGGCAAGATGGCCACGGCTGGGGGCAGCACTGAAGCTGACCCGGGAAGTCGGGGTCTTCTTCACCTTCTGTCGTTCTGCGTTCTACTGACAGGTGAGGCCTCCCTGCCCGTGAGCTCAGCTCTGTAAGGGGAACAGTCCGGATCTGCCCAACCGCGAGCGCCGGTGTTTCCCTTCTGGTCCTCGCTGCCCCCTTGTCCCCCACCCTGTAAATCCTCTTTCTCTTTCGTTCCCATGACAGAAGTTCCCCCTTTCGCTGAATCTTTTATCCCTTCCCCTCCTCGGCAAGTGGTGTCCCGTCAGTCCTTCCTTCAGGCCTCTTTGTGTATTTCCAGCCTGATTTTTCTCACACTTTGTTCGGATTCCCGGATTTCTATAGAGCCTCAGCCACTCCACCCACAATCAAAAGGAACAGGTGTGAAAGTTCAGCTTCTTTTCCCGGGTTTAGACTTTCTGAGGCCAAAACAGCCTTGTTCTGTGGGAGCTATGCCGCCCATAAAATAATCCTCATTCTTTCCCGTGTTGATTCCATAAACTTCTATCCTTCATCTCTGTCCTTCATCAATAAAGTGAGACTAAGGTAGGTTATGGGTACTCTTAAGTAATGATTCAAGGAATTTAAGGCTTTTATAACGTGCATAGGTGTTTTCCTTACACACATTTACATTCTGGTGTGTGACTTTCTAGTTGCTTGAATGCTAAAATGCAAACATACCTGTAACCATGAGCAGGCTGTCCCCTAAACTCAATTTGCTTTTAAAGATCCCCAAAGGAAAACCTATAGCTGTCATTCACTATATGAACACATAATCGATCTGCTGGTGTTAGATGAACTGAACAGGTGTGTGGCATAAGGTTTCTCCCAGTTTTGTTCAGACTCTTGGGAAAAGTCTCAGAAATGTGTTTTTTATTGATGTTTTTGGTGATCTATATTTTTAGACCAGCGATCTTTTCTTAACTAGTTAGTAATTTACATACAGGATAGAAGAGCAGAAGTGTGATCTTTCATGCAACCAGCAGTTGGCATGTCTAACGTCAAACACCTTTCCATTGACAGATCACGTTTTCTCTCTTAGCTTCAGTGTCCTTTGCTTTTCATGAAGTCTTCTGAGTTACATAGCTAGGTGCTTGCTTTTTAGAGCATTTATCTATTCCAATAACGTGTCCAAGAAGTGAAAAGAATGGACATTTGTCCAATTTTAGAAAGTATGATATTGAATGATTAGCCCAAGCTGTGAATTAAGTCAGTGACATTTTAGAGGCAAGGTATTAGTGTCTCGTGGTTTCTTCTAACAGTTTTATTTTCTAATCAGGTTTGTGCAAGGGAAACTCCGTGGAGAGAAAGATCTACATTCCTTTAAATAAAACGGCTCCCTGTGTTCGTCTGCTTAATGCCACTCATCAGATTGGCTGCCAGTGTGAGTTGAAATTTTAATTGGTGTTTGTGGCCATTGATATTTCAGTTGTGCCCTAGATACTAAGAAGGATCTATGCCCATTAGGAGTCAAATTAGACTGTGTGAGTAGGAGGTGATAGAGAACCACCTGTCAAACTAACAAGATAATTAATGAGCTAACATTTAGTAAATTATATATACTAAGCTTTTTACATGTGTGTCTCATTTAAGCTCCACAGCAACCTCAATCAATTCCATTTTATAAATGATGAGACTGAGACTTAGAGAGATTGACTAACTTTCCAAGATCATGTTGATAATAAGGTATGATGCTAGGATTTGAAACCCTGGTCATCCATGTTCTAAGCCAAGATTTCTAATGATCCTTTTGTAGTGGAGAAGTCCTATAGTCTCTGGAGTCCATTCACTGCACTCTGAATATCTTTGGGGAACCAGAGTAAGCTGCTTCTTTTTTTTTCCGGTACCAGAAATCAAACTCGGGACCTTGTACTTGCAAAGCAGGTGGCGGAACCACTGAGCTAAATCCCTGGCCCCCAAAATAAGCTTCTTAAAGTCAGCTAAGTAGTTGATAAAAAGGCATTGATTATGCCAAATAGTTGGGAATATTAGTGAAGAATTTATAATTATGCTTTATAAATGTTTTTTAACACAAAATGCATGACACCATAGTTATAAAAACTATAAAAATCACAGAGGAAAAGACTTGTGATCTAAAGGCTGAATCAGTTTGTTTGCTGCTTAAGCTGTTATCTTCAGATTTTTGATATTCTCTGGATAGTAACTTTGTCAGAGTAATAGTTTTGCAAGTAAGTAAGCAGGCAAGCTGTGATCTGATCTTGGCTTCTTCATTATTGAATTGATCACCTCTGGAGTTCAGTTAACCTCTGTACTAATAATGATTGGAATAGTTTTGCACAAAGCTGAAAGTCATACTATCTTTTAATAGATGTTACTGGTGATGCTGAATAAATATCATTGTCTCAGCAATGTTCTGTATAGTTGCCTGAAACTTTTGGATTTGGTAAAAGTAAACTGAGTTACTGGAAAGTAAGAGACTTGCTCAGGGAGGTAGCTAATACTTTTTCTACCCATTCTTCCCTGAGCTACATTAATTGTCTTATGTTCCTGTACAGGGTGCACTGGAAATGGGTTGGTTGGTTCCAAACAGTCATAAATACAGTTTTTTTTGTTGGGTTCAATTTCTAAACTAGGTTTGGGGATGAAAAAGTCAGGTCCATAGTGGGCTGAGGTCAGGCTGCTGGACCTGCCAGAACCTCGCTGTAAATGCAAAATGCTAGGACCCCATCCTCCTGGAGTTGGGCTCTGAGAAATCCCCTTTGGAAATGAGTCATTCCGCTGTGTGTTCTTCAAGGGGCCCAGTGGGAGGCAAAGCAATAGTCTCTAGAGATGAGGCCAAGTGCCAGTGTACAGAGAAACAAGAGGGGAAGGGCTGGACTCTGGATACTTCCTCATTAAGATCTTGTTTCCTTTTCAATCTACTTATTTCTAAGTCTTACTTCATCATATCTGTCTATCCTTACTTAGCAGGCTACGCCCTCTTTAATTGGAGTTGGCTAGCATCATAAAACTAAGGAGAAAAAGAGATCCAGATTTGATTTTTGATTATAATGACCTGTTTTTACTGGATCCTTAAAATATTCAAAGAGAGCGATCTATGTAAGTTTCTTCTTCCTTCCTGCCTCCCTTGTTTTTTCTATCCCCATTGGATGTGGCAAGTAAGGATAGAAAAGCTGTTCTTCACTGATGGTCCAGAGAAAGGAAGCAAGACTACATAATCGCCTGTTACCCAGATTAAAGTCCACGTTCCTTCAGCCCAGTATCATAAGCTTATTTTCTTTCTGTTCTTCCTAGAGCTGAAGTTACATATTTTTTTAATTTGCCACCAGCTTTTTCTGGTCTTATGTTTTAAATGCTGTGGCAGACTGTTGTTTGAACTTTCATCGATATCTGGATCTTAACTAAAGTTGTTCCAGGCTCTGCTGTTCTTCATTATTTTATTATGACCATTGACATGGACTTGTTAAATATTTATTATTTATAAGCCATAGTTAAATGTCGGGAGCCCTGCCTTCATGTCTAGATTTTATCAGATCACATAGAAGGAAACTTTTGCTCAGCTACCAGTTAGGAACTGGTTATCATTTTTGTCTCTTGCTTGTTATGAGTATTTTGGTTCCTTGGTCTAGAAGCACATTTCTCATACCTGACTCTATATATTAAAGAAATACATATGGTTAGGCATGGTGGTGCATGCCTATAATCCAGCTACTCAGGAGGCTAAAGCAGGAGAATCACAAGTTCAGGTCCAGCCTCAGCAATTTAGGGAGACTCTATCTCAAAATAAAAAGTAAAGAGAGTTGGCAGTATAGCTCAGTGATAGAGCATTTGCCTCACATGTGTGAAACCTTGGGTTCAAGTACCAGCACCCTCCCCTGTGCCCCACAAAGAACTATTTGTGGTATGTTTTGAAAATACATGTCCCTGTCCCCATCTCTAGTGATTTTAATTTCAGAGATATAAGGTAGTACCCAAACATCTGTATTTGTTAAAATTCCATGGGCTGGGGATGTGGTTCATTGGTAGAATGCATGAGTAGCATTCACGAAGCCCTGGCTTCAATCCCTAGTGCAAAAATATAGACAAAAAACAACAAAAAAACTTTCAAAGTGATTCAAATACACAGTCAGGGATGAATCCTCTTGCTCTAGGATATTTGTGAATATCACATTCAGCCTTTATACAGTAGACTGAGAGGGACCCTGTGGGATGTTTGTACATGGAACTTGGGTTTTGCCAAATGCCTCAATTTCTGTAGAGTTTGAGACATTTTGGACTGTGGATCATCTATCCGCTAGATTAGGACTTCCCAATCTTTGTCACATCGTGAGATGCATAGAAATATTATTTGTGTAGCATCTTGCATGTATAGAAGTGGATTTACTTGTAGTGCACCCTGGGGTAAATGATATCTTCTCCTGGCTGCCAGTGTCCAACCTGGGGACTTTGGAAACCTGAGCTCCCCAGGAAGTAGGGCAGTCTATCATTACATCTCAGATCCATTCAAGGACTGTCATTGGGGATCTCTGTTCTTGAGACCTCAGAGTTCTGAATTAAGCTCACCTAAAACTAGCCAGGAGCAAGTTTTAGGAATGGTGCAGGAATAGTGATCTGGGAAGGCTACTGGGGCCAAGGGAGTCTGCATGTGTTTTCATGAAGGAAGATTCAAAGCCAGGGGTCTAAACTAGAAATCTAGAATCTGGCGTTTCCTACAGAAAATGAAGATTTGAAACTTGATTCTATTCTAGAATCTTGTGTTTACGAGTAAATGACTAAATTTGGGAAAAAACATGAAGACCATACATAGAGCCTTTCTGGCATTTAATGAACACTACTGATAAGTCGTCTTGGATGCTTTTGTTTTTTGTTTTTGTTTTTGTTTTTTATATCAGGGATCAAACTTAGGACCTTGTGCTTGTGAGGCAGGCAGTGGAACCACTAAGCTAAATCCCTGGCCCTTCTTGGACTCTTTTGTCCTCCGTTCCTTCTTCATATGCCCTTCTTCATATGGAGCAAGAGCAATTCAGCTTTCCAATTTAAGACCAGAGGTGGCTGAGGTCACCCAAATATATTGTGGCATCTTTAGAGATAAAAGATCTGCAGGATCAGTAAGGTAGTCGGAATTGTCAGTTGTGGGAGCTTTAATTCTATGCATTCTGTCCTGGCAGCTTCAATTAGTGGGGACACAGGGGTTATCCACGTAGTGGAGAAAGAAGAGGACCTGCAATGGGTGTTGACAGATGGCCCCAACCCTCCTTACATGGTTCTGCTGGAAGGCAAGCTGTTTACCAGGTAAGAACTGGATGTGCCTGTTGGGAAAATATATGTAAAGAAGGAAAGATTTGGTGAGCAGTCTTCACACTTATGAGCCTGCCCTGTCCAGTCAGGAGAGCACAGAGTCACTCTTCAGAAAGGAAGAGTAACCATCAAATAGAATAATCTCAGTGATCTTAAAAATAGAGTTCAATGGGCCAGGGATTTAGCTTGGTGGTTCCGCTTCGCAAGGACCTGAGTTCGATCCCTAGTACCAAAAAAAAAAAAAAAAAAAAAAAAAAAAAGAGTTTGACCCAGGCAGTGCCACACACTTGTGATCTCAGCCATTCAGGAGGCTGAGACTGAACGATCACAAATTCAAGGCCAGTCTGGGCAACTTAATAGAGACCTTATCTCCCCCCACAAAAGAAGAAAGAAGGTACAACTCTAGGGAGGAAGGAATGGTGCCTGAGATCTCTGGGTGACAAGGTAACTGGGACTAACCCTGAACTCAGTTTGGGCCACAGTCCAGGCCCAGAAATTAGAGACTGTAAAGAGAAGTGACAGTTCTGGTCCTCCTGGTTCTCTATTCATTTCTATCCTGAGGAGCACAGTTCTGACTACCTGATGTCTTCCTGTCTCTCATGGCACTTCCTGTCTGTTCCAGGCATGTAATGGAGAAGCTGAAGGGAAAAAATAGTCGGATTGCTGGTCTTGCAGTGACCTTGGCCAAGCCCAGTCCCACCCCCGGCTTCTCTCCTAGTGTGCAGTGCCCAAATGATGGGTTTGGTAAGATTGCAAAAGAAGACTCACTGCTGCTTCCGTTTTGAGCCTGTGGTGGGGATGTGTGTGTCTGCTTGTGTTGTAAGCAGGTGAATCCCAGACAGAAGATAGTATTTGCCTTTGCCATTCATCCCCCACCTTGTTCCTCTTCATTTTCCTTCCATCATCCCTATGTGTCACATGCTGAGAGCCCTAATCTGTCAGCCTAGTGTCCCTTGATCTCTACTTCATTGTGGATGGTGTTAGATTCTGCATCTTTGAGTCACTGCCCCTTTTTGAACTCTTAATCCCAATTCTGTGATATCCTAACCTTCCTCCCTCACCTCGTTCCTAAGTGTTTGGTGTCTTCATAACCTATCTTCTAACCCCTCCTTTCTACCTGCAGGTGTTTACTCCAATTCCTATGGGTCAGAGTTTGCCCACTGCAAAGAAAAGCCATGGAATCCTCTTGGCAGTGGCTTGGCTTATGAAGACTTTAGTTTCCCCATCTTTCTTCTTGAAGATGAAAATGAAACCAAGGTCATCAAGCAGGTAATAACTCTGACACCTCCTGGCAATTCCATTGAGAGACAGAATTATTTTTCAGGCTTTCCTCCTGTTTGGAGGAAGGCTCATTGTATTAGCACATACTTTGAAAACAGTTGCTCCAAAAAAAGAACCAAGAAATTCATTTTCCTCACGTTTCCCTCTCCTACTTCTTTCCTGCCTGATATAATAGCATGAAAGGCTTTTAGACTAGATGAACATAAAAAGAATATTTGACAGAATAATATGAAACAAGGAATTCAGCCCTGGTTAAGATTTAAAAAAAAAAAAAAAAAAAAAAAGTGCTGAGCATGGGGCTGCTCACCTATAATTCCAGCAGTCAGAGGGCTGAGGCAGGAGAATCATGGTTTGAAGCCAGCCTGGGCTCCATAGTGACACCATGTCTCAAAAAGCCAAAAACAACAAAAGAGTATTAGACTAGGAGTTAAGAGATTCCTTTTAGTTCAGTAAATTCTGAGATTCTTTTTAGCCCTAATATGCTCTTAGTTTTAGTCAGGCTTCTTCGTTTGACACAAGAGCAGTTAAGAGATTTATTCAAAGTTATAAGGTGAGTTGATGTCCAAGCTGTCTTGAATCTTATTTTTGATCTCTGGATCAGTGCTCCTTATGTCAAATCACATTAAGAACAGTGGCTGAAGCTCCAGATTGGGCCAAGCCATTTGGGATGGGATAAGTTCATCTGTTCCAAGTAAGCCAATGAGCCCATGCCCTCTTCCACCTACTGAGTAGTTTTTCTGTTTGACCTTATAGGTCCTGTGGTTATACCAAGACACCTGTAGCTCAGGGACAAATGTTTAAGGATGGAGCTGGGCCTTCCACTTCCTGGGAAGTAGGGGAGGGACTCCACAGCTGTCTGTCTCAGTGGGGTCCCTCTCCCCTTCCAGTGCTATCAAGATCACAACCTGAGTCAGAACGGCTCAGCACCGGCCTTCCCGCTGTGCGCCATGCAGCTCTTCTCACACATGCACGCCGTCATCAGCACTGCCACCTGCATGCGGCGCAGCTTCATCCAGAGCACCTTCAGCATCAACCCAGGTAGGACTGATCTCAGCCATGCTGAGGTCCTGCAGTGGGGAGGAGGACAGGGCCAGGCCAGGTAATAGGGACAAGACCATGGTGGGGATGGAGTGGGCCTGGGCAGCAAGCGCTGGGTGGGAGAAGTATCAACGGTTGTGCACATTGTAGGCAGCTTATACCTGAAGTAAGTACAAGATAGCAGAGAAACCAACCTGGACCTGCGGAAGTAGAGAAAATGGCCCAGAGTCCTTGGAGCACTGGTCAGAGAGGTCTCATGGGCCTTCTTTACAGCTGTCCTTTTCCTCAGTCCTAGTCATCTCATGGTTTGTGTCCCACTCAGAAATCGTCTGTGACCCCCTCTCTGACTACAATGTATGGAGCACGCTCAAGCCTATAAATACATCTGGGACATTGGAGCCTGATGATAGGGTGGTGGTTGCGGCTACCCGGGTGAGTGTTGGACCCTGATCAGTATGGGCAGGGCTGGCTCAGAAAGAGCTGGCAGGCCTCTCCTGGGCCTATCTGATTTCAGAGTTGCTACACTAGACAGCCTCAGGGGGAGGTTGAGCTGGGCAGTGTGAAACTGGTTCTGTCCTTTGCCCTAGCACATTCTCTTGGCTGGAATTGGAAAGGGTACTTGGGCCTATTCCTCATTTCCAGTTCTAAAGCGTGCATCCTCTGCTTCTGTACCCAGCTGGACAGTCGTTCCTTCTTCTGGAATGTGGCCCCCGGGGCTGAAAGTGCTGTTGCCTCCTTTGTCACCCAGCTGGCTGCAGCCGAAGCCTTGCAAAAGGCACCTGATGTGACCACCCTGACCCGCAATGTCATGTTTGTCTTCTTCCAAGGAGTAAGGGTTCTTCACCTGAGGCTGGGCAGCAGGGTGTGGGGCTGGCTCTTGGTTGGGACAACCCCAACACTCAACTTGTCAATCAGTGCGGAGAGAGATTTTGAATGTGTCTATATGTGTCTCCTTTGGAGTTTTATTTTAGGAAGCTTTTATGCCCTTGCATTACCAACTCCCTCACTCCCCCACCATAAGATCTATCTGAGGCCTCCTTTTACTTTCTTTTTTTTTTTTTTTTTTTTTTTTTTTTGATACTGGGGAGTGAACTCAGGACTGATGCCACTGAGTTAAATCCCCAGCTTGGCCTCCTTTTGCTCTTATTGTCTGCATCCCCTTTCTGCTCTGTGAGGGATCCTACCACTTCCTGCTGGCACCACAGCTTGTCTAGCCTGAGGAATAGCAGACACATAATTGTCCATGTTCCCTTTGAGCCTTTACGAAGCCCATTTCTGGGCTGGAGAAGTCCTGTGGTTCATACATGTGAGAGATGATCACAGCGGGGACTTCAAGGAAGGAGGAGGGGAAGTCACATGGCCGTGTGAGCTGACTGACCAGCAGTTGTGAAGGCCCCAGGTGGTAGATTTCCTGCCTATAGTTTTGATGACTTGGCCTTCCTTGAGGCTGCCCTAACCCTTTGGAACTTCTGTGGCTTTTCTTATTCATCTCTGCCTCCTCCCCCAGGAAACTTTTGATTACATTGGCAGCTCAAGAATGGTCTACGATATGGAGAAGGGGAAGTTTCCTGTGCGGTTAGAGAACATAGATGCATTTGTGGAACTGGGACAGGTGCGGCTTGTGTCCTTCCTACTTAAAGCTTCCTCTTCCATTCTGCTGTCCTTGCTGCAGGCACCACCCTCCTCTTCCCCTGACTCCTTCCCCCAGGTGTGGGCCAGAACAGAAGACTGACTGTAAGTGTTGCTGCTTCATCCTTCCCCCAGGTGGCCTTAAGAACATCTCTAGAGCTCTGGATGCACACGGATCCCATGTCTCAGAAAAACGAGTCTGTTCAGAACCAGGTAACCCAGTAGCTCAGAGTACGGACCTCATACCCAACCCCTGCCTTGCTCCCACCAATCCCTGGGGCCTGTGAGGCAAGATAAAGAAAGGATTCAATTGGGTTTTGGCCATAGGATGACTATCCCAGCCATTATTATTTGCTGGGAAGAGTTGTTGTGAGCTCAGTGACATCCCAGTGATTCCCTGGATTGGGAGTTCTCTGGCCATTTGATGCTTAGCAAGTGACTATTGCCCATTAAGGACAAGTGAGAGACTAGCTCCCTCTTCTCCTTGCTGTCCTGCCAAGTCTTGCCTATGTGAGACTCCCTGCCCAAATTGTCTCATTATTTTCCACTTTCCCTTATTCTTTTTTTCTCTTTTTGGTGGTGCTGGGGATTGAACTGAACCCAGACCTTCACACTGAACTATGCCCCCAACCCTTGTCTTTTCTTTTTTTTTTTTTTTGAGATGGGGATCTCAGTTGACCAGGCTAGGCTCAAACTCATGATGCTGGCCGGGCATGGTGGCTCACGCCTGTAATCCCAGCACTTGGGAGACTGAGGCAGGAGGATCACTGTGAATTCGAGACCAGCCTGGACTACATAGTGAGTTCCAGGTCAGTTTCAACTACATAGTGAGACCCTGTCTCAAAAAACAAAAACAAAAACAAAAAAAACAAAACTCATGATGCTCCTGCCTCAGCCTCCTGAGTGCTGGGATTACAGGGCTGCCCCACCATCCTTAGCATGTTCTCTACTTTCCTCACGCCTCACGCCTGTAATCCCAGCACTTGGGAGACTGAGGCAGGAGGATCACTGTGAATTCGAGACCAGCCTGGACTACATAGTGAGTTCCAGGTCAGTTTCAACTACATAGTGAGACCCTGTCTCAAAAAACAAAAACAAAAACAAAAAAAACAAAACTCATGATGCTCCTGCCTCAGCCTCCTGAGTGCTGGGATTACAGGGCTGCCCCACCATCCTTAGCATGTTCTCTACTTTCCTACCTCTTGCTCAAGGCCCTCCCTCCCTGCCAGGTTCAGCTTTAGACCTGAGTTTGGCCATGCATTCCTCTTCCTACCACCGCCTTTATTGTCATTCCTGCTCTGAGAGAACCTCCTGCTTTCTGTTCCCCACCTCTCATCACTCGGTCTCCCTCACTCCCTTAGGTAGAGGACCTTCTGGCCACACTGGAGAGGAGTGGTGCTGATGTACCTGATGTTGTCCTCAGAAGAATTAATCAGTCCCATGCCCTCCCACCATCTTCTCTGCAGCGATTTCTTCGAGCTCGAAACATCTCCGGTGTTGTTCTGGCAGACCATAATGATTCCTTCCATAACCTGTAAGAATCCCTGGGTCCTGCACCCTTCTCAAAGGGAGTCTGTACTGCATTCTAGGAGAAAGGTTGCCATCTTTGCTTTTCTCACACAACCTCCTCCAAAACCTCCAGGCAGTTTGAGTTTTTTGCTCAGTGGTCTGTGCACATCCAACCTAGTCCCCTCATTGACTTGATGTCCACTTAGAAAATCATCTTCACCCTCAGCCCTTTGTAGTGTAGTCATCCTACACTGGTTCACTGCTCTTGGCTTCTCCTGGGCCTTGAGCTCCTCAGGGCTGCCAGCAGAGGGCAGTGTCTCAAACAGGAGCATGGGAAAGTGGAGGTTCCTCAGCTGGAGGAGAGAGCCGCCCAGGGGCCTGCCGATGGGTACTGCCCACAGGTACTACAAACAGTACTGGTGCTTGTAACTTGTTCTTGTCATGTGGTAGATACATGTGAGTCTGCGCTGATGGGGCTGCAGAGATCAGAAGTCACACACAGACAGTTACATCTTTCCCGGTCTGGGACCCTAAGCTGCGCTAAACTTGGTGCCTGGGATTATGAGACTTTTCATACAGGCTAGATTGCTACCTCCTCAGCCTCCCTAGGGCCAAACGAGTTTCTGAATAAAAATGCTTAAGCTTTGGCTCTCCAACTCTAGCAGTCCATGTAGGAGAGTAGCATTAGGGTCAGCTTGTCTTCTGCAGATCATTCCTCAGCACCAGCTGTGGGGTGAGTGGTAGTTCTTCATTTAAATCATTTTGTTAAGTGAGCGTGTGGGGTGGGGATTTATTAGAGCTCCCTTAACCCCTCTTTTTTTTTTTCTTCCTTAGCCCCTCTTTTAAAATCTTTTTTCCATGGGGCTCCCTGAGACCCATTGTGCTGATTTGGTTGGATGTATTTGTACAAAACTGTGAGCATTCCTGACCCTAATACCTGCTAATCCTTCCTCTGCTCCCAGCCACCCCTCTATTCATGGGAACAATCATACAAGTATTCTGATGATGTGTGCAGAGTCCTCTGAAAAGTCTCTGAATCATCTTTCTATGTGTCCAGCCCAGACAATATAAAGAGTCTCCTGTACTTAAAGATCTCAGCTTATTTACCTTGCTGCCTCACCCATCAGAAAAGTCTCTGTATTTCATTAGCCACCCCCACCATCGCATTCTTCATGCCTTCTTTGAGAATGGATCCCGACCTTCTTTCTCTCTTTTCCCCTGGATGATGAAAAATACAATAGCAAAGTCCTGCATAGGGGTATTTGAGTAGGAAAGGGGCAAGGTCCTGGCTGATGAATGTAGCCAAGGCTCATGCCGGCTTTCCTGGCAGCTATTACCAAAGCATTTACGACACTGCTGAGAACATTAATGTGAGCTATCCTGAGTGGCTGAGCCCTGAAGAGGACCTGAACTTTGTGACAGACACGGCCAAGGTACCCAGGCTGGGTGGGAGCATGGGGGGCACAGTGACAGTGGTTAGAATTCCAGTGCCTGAGCTCGGAGAGATGAACCATTCAGCCCCTCTGCTCATCTGCCACAGGCCCTGGCAAATGTGGCCACAGTGCTGGGACGTGCACTGTATGCACTTGCAGGAGGAAGCAACTTCAGCGACATGGTTCAGGCTGATCCCCAGACGGTAAGAGCTGATGGCTCCACGTCTGTCCCTGATGACACAGCGGGCTGCCCCATCCTTTACATCCTTGCCTAGCCTCCTAAACTTTGGAATTCACCATGCCTCTGGATGCTCTTGGGTGGGCCTCATCTCTGCCCTTAGTGAGCTGCCACCATCTCTCAGCCCCAGACTGGGTCATGCCAGAATCATGTTCACTGATTCTTCTTGCTGGCCTTGTTTGAAGTCACAGGTTTTCTCTTCCTGCTGTTCCAATCATAGGTCACCCGCCTGCTCTATGGGTTCCTGATTCAAGCCAACAACTCTTGGTTCCAGTCTATCCTTAGACAGGATCTGAGGTCCTACTTGGGTAAGCATCTGGTGTGAGAAGGGGACCCTAAACCATGGTAAGGTATGGTGGAAAAGGCATCATTTTGGTTTAATCTTTATTCTTTTTTTTTTTTTACCCCTCTTCTGTTTTCCTTTCTCCTGATGTGTGTTGGATCCTTTTCTTGTACTTTCTCTTCCGTGGCTCTTGCCAATCTGGGACTCTTCCTTTTTCTGCCTAACCCTCAATCACCTTGCACCCACCAAATCCTCCGTTCCCTTTGGCCTGCAATCAGGAGACGGGCCTCTTCAGCATTACATCGCTGTCTCCAGCCCCACCAACACCACTTATGTCGTGCAGTATGTCTTGGCAAATTTGACTGGCAAGGTGATCGACCTCACTCGAGAGCAGTGCCAGGATCCAAGTAAAGTTCCAAATGAAAACAAGGATGTGAGTGGTGGTGGGTGTCGGAGGTACCCTGGGGGCTCTTTCCCTTGGGGAAGTCAGAGGATCTTCTAGACTCAGGTAGACCTACGTGTTGGGATGGAGAGGTGGAGGGATGCAGTCCTGTGAACTTGAGAACAGAGGCCTGGGTGAGGCAGGTGGTGGAACCACTGAGCTAAATACCTGGCTTTTTTCTTAAGTTTTTTTTTTTTTTTTTTTTTTTTGGTACCGGGGATCGAACTCGAGTCCTTGTGCTTGCAGAGGCCTGGGTGAGGCAGGTGGGGGAACCACTGAGCTAAATACCTGGCTTTTTTCTTAAGTTTTTTTTTTTTTTTGGTACCGGGGATCGAACTCGAGTCCTTGTGCTTGCAGAGGCCTGGGTGAGGCAGGTGGGGGAACCACTGAGCTAAATACCTGGCTTTTTTCTTAAGTTTTTTTTTTTTTTTGGTACCGGGGATCGAACTAGAGTCCTTGCGCTTGCAGAGGCCTGGGTGAAATTGAACCACCTAAAGGGTAAAGGGATAATAGCCAGTTAGCTCAGTTGGATCAAGTGTGGTGCTAACAGGGCTGAAGGGAGCAGCTGAGAAGAGGATGTCAGCCCTGTGTTGTGGCCCATCTCCCTGTGCAGCTGTATGAGTACTCATGGGTTCAGGGCCCTCTGAGTTCCAACGAGACGGACCGGCTGCCCCGGTGCGTGCGTTCCACTGCACGACTGGCCAGGGCCTTGTCACCTGCCTTCGAACTGAGTCAGTGGAGCTCCACCGAATACTCTACATGGACTGAGAGCCGCTGGAAAGACATTCGGGCTCGGATATTCCTGGTTGCCAGCAAAGAACTTGAGGTGAGACCGCAGGAGGAGAGGTGGCAGTGAACCAGTTGACTTCTTTCTGTTGTCTCATTCCCCTCCCATCTGCCTTTTGCCATCAGTTTGCAGTGCAAAAGCTGCAAATCCATACTTGGTCTGCGTGTCCCATTGACAGGCTTCTCCTCACTGGTACTTAGACTGTATGTTTATCCTAGAGAAGCCCATGGATCCCAGAAGTGCCTCTGGGGCTCCTGCTCCCACCTGTGTCCCCAGCCAGCACAGTGGAGATGAGTCAGTCACGGAGCCCCTGTCATCAGTCAGTAGTGTAGCTGCCACAAGGGAATCAAAGCTGTGGGCCTTCCCTTCAGGATGCTTAAGATCTAATGCAAGAAGGAAGAACAGAGAAACTTCTCTTTTCAAATGAGGAGAGTTAAGTCTGTAGATTAGGAAGGTATTGCCCATGACTGTTCTATATATGGTGCCTGAAGCCAACAGCAGAATTCTGGTGTCCCTGTGTCCCAGCCCCAGTTAACCTAAATGCACTGAGTTCTGAGGACACCTTTCTCTTCCCTCTCCACACCCTTCCTCCCTTGCAGTTTATCACCCTGATAGTGGGCTTCGGCATCCTCGTCTTCTCTCTCGTCATTACCTACTGCATCAATGCCAAAGCCGATGTCCTTTTCATTGCTCCCCGAGAGCCAGGAGCTGTGTCTTACTGAAGAGGCCCCCAGCTTTCCCTGCCAGCTCAGCACTTCACTTCCAAGATCATTTGTCCCATTGGGAACAAACCACTAGTTTGTCACTGGATCTTCTTTGGGCCTGTCTCAGACTGGAGTTAATATAAAGGAGTGGAACTGTCCAGAAGAAATAAGCAAGTCACTCTGCCTCCCCACCTCCCTTCTCCAGTTCCTCCTTTCCCCTCTCTCTGCAAGATTCTGGGATTATAATAGAAGCTTCCTGCTCCTGTTCAACTCCCAAGGTCCCCACTCCTACCTGCCCGTCCTAAGGACGCCCAGCCCTATTCTCCCAGCCCTGTTCTCCCCTCTGTGTCCCTTCTCGCCCCCACCCCATCCCTGTACCCAACCACTTTGCAGACCAGGAAGAAGGAGGCGAAGGGCTGAACATCAGGGTTCTGCCACGGTGAACCTCTGAAGAGGAGGACAAGGTTCTCTGGGCCGAGCCTGCTGTTCCTTCCCACTGTCTGTTCTCCAGATCCTCAGTTGGCACATTAGGGTGGGCGTGCTGCTGGGTGGGTATCCCACCTCCAGCCCATGGTGCCCAGGTGTACTTTTTATTAAGCTGTAATATCTATTTTGTTGGTTTTTTTCCTTTTTTTTTTTTTTGTAAATATATAAATAGGGAGTTTCATTAAAATAGATTATCCCACACAGCTTATACTCTTACCTGTTACTCTTCCCCAACCATCAAGTTTAGGACAACCTATGTGCTGTGCTGGTGGGACTGGATGTCAGTGAAATTGTTACCTTGGGTGAAGACCCAAGGAGGATTCCCCCATCGAGGACTTTGCAATCCTTTTAAAACAAGGGCTCTTGGCTGAGCTCTGGAGCCTGGGTGCCCCACTTAAAAGAGCAGCCTTAGCCTAGTTTCTTCTTGCTCTGGTAGTGGACAGGTGCTTTATTCACTCTGTGCCCCTGGCTAGGTACAGAGATAAAGTGAAGACAGCCCTTTGAGGTTCTCATAGTTGGGGTGAGGAAAGAGTGTGCGACTCATCCAGAATGCTCTCTGGATATGTTGCACGTGTGGGTCCCTGTGCAGTAGCATGTGGTGGGATTCAGGGCAATGGGTGATAGCTGAGTAGGCACGAATGAGTTCCCCAGGTGTGGAAGCACAGTCAAGCAGAGGCAGGAGTCATGCTTGGGAAATGGTGCTGTTCGCGTGCCTGAGCCATGAAAATCGGCAGGAGTTGAGGCTGGGGCAGACCTAAGGATCTTGGGTGACCTGCGAAGGAGTTTGGACCTTCTGTGGGCAGTCGGCTTTTTGGGGACCAAAACCAGAGTGGTTTAGAACTATTTCAGAAGGAACCACAGCTCTGGAAAGGCTGTAATTTTGTGGGTCTTCATGGAGGCAGAATTCTGGATTATTGCAGAACTGCTAAGTGATCGTGGGCAGCGGCTGAGTCAGCTGAAGGGGGAAGAGAAGTGGCAGGGTGGGAGCAGAGGCCCAGCCTTTGCCGGCCAGGAAGCCGCTGTGACACATGCCTGAAGGCCAGCGGCAAGGGAAAGCTGGCTGAGAGCGCGCATCCCCCCCACTCCTTAGTTCTCTGGTTGGGCTGTTTGCCTTTGCGAATCCTGCTGAGAGGAGATCATTTTTCTTCAGGTTTCTCTCCAAGTTCCCTCAAGGGGGCACGTTTGGGGTCCTGAGATAGGAAAAACACCCTGCTGCTTCCCCGCCCCAGCCCCCCAGTTGGAGCTGGAGAAGCTGTGTGCTATGCTGGCGGGAGCTGAACACAGCTGCCACTGTGTCTGGGCCGGCTCCATGCCTCCCTCGGCCAACAGGTCTCCCAGCGGGCAGAGCAGTAAACTCCCTCATCCTGCTGGCAGCTTTGGGAAGTGAGGACATGGCTGGGTACCAGGGAGGGGGCTGAACGGCGAATCACAGGCGTGGGCAGAATCAAGAGATCAGGGTGGGTAAGAAGGGTACAAGATGCAGAGCCCTCAATATCTTGGCCACCTCTACCTAAGGGAGAATCCTAAACACAAACTTGTCTTCTGCCTTCCATGCTCCTTAACCCCACCCACAAATGGGCCCTTCCTTGCCCTGGCTCTGGGAGAGGCCAGGCGGGCACCCTGGGAGGCGTGCAGCCACCCAGATGACCACCGGAACTGGCACACACCCTCCCTCTCAGTGACCATCATGCTGGTGCCTCACCACTTGGCCCTTGTGCCCTAAAGACCGTAAGTGTCTGGCTGGCAGTGTATTAACGGCCATATCCTTTTTGACCCGTTTCCCTCCCCTGCATCTAGGCCTTGTTCATCCTGCCTTCTGAACAGAATCATCTTCCAGCCCTTTCCCCTCCCTGAGGGCTCCCCTTCTGCCCACTGCTAGTCCACTATGCCCCTTCTCTTCCTCGCAATCCCTACCCTGGTCTCCAGGTCTCTGTGGTATCTACCTGTTGACATCTCGCCTGTTCCCTCAAGGTTGCCCCTGAAGGTTTCTAGCAGCTGATTTCTTTTTCCTGGCTTCTGGGTAAAGGGGTTACTGCTTCCTGTTTCTCATCTCTGGGTCACTGCTCCTAAAGGCACATCCTGGGAGTTTTTTTTTTTTTTTCTTCCTTTAATCTAGATTCTGATGCTGTATATTGAGATCCTTACTCAGTACAGGACTTTTGTTTCTTCAAGGGAACTTACAGTAAGACCTTGGGAATTACGTGTATGATCTAACTCTTTTTTGGTCTAACTCATTTGATAGATGAGGAAACTAGTCCAGAGGAACAGTGTGGCTTTGTCCAGGGCCACACAGCAAATAAAGAGTTGGGACTAGAACATGTCATGTCCACAGCCACCCAAGCAGCTGAAGCTGCCGTAGACATTTGTTGAGCACAGCTATGGGCAAGGCGCTCTGTCCCAGCATCTGAAAGGGCTAAGAAAGGTGGTGCCTTCCCTGCAAGACTTCAAATCCACAGTCCCGATGGCAGGAAGGGGCCCAACAAGATAAAGAACCAGGCGTGGCTGTGTATGCTCCTTGCAGGATCAGTGCCCTAAACAGGTTTCTCCTGAGTTCAGAGGATGGAGGATTTTCTTTCCGCTGGGCCAGGGAGGAGGAGCCTCGTGATGTGGGAAGAACTCAGGACCAGATTTTCTGGTCTGCTGCTAATGCTGTGTGACTTTGGGAGGGGCATCCTGTGTTCTCATCTATAAAGTACATTTGGACAAGGGGCTGCTCTCAGGTCCACCCTGGCTCTGTCTTGTTCTGGGAAGGGACAGCTGGAACCATACCCCCCCCCAACCCTCTCACCCTAAACTCCTCAGGGCAGGGGCCATTTCAAAGGCTGATCAATTCATGAACTTGGAGATAGCAGAGTTCTAGGGTGGGATGCCTGAGGGGCACTGTTGTCTCCTAGCCCAGGGATAGCAGGAATTTGGAATATTGTGGCATAACATAATATAAAAGAGACCCTGTCACTCCACAGCCAACCCTCACAAAAACAAGAAAAAAGAAAGGGGTGGAAATGGGAGAAAGAAAAATGGAAAGGAAGGTGAAGGGAGGAAAAGAAAAGGGAAAAAGCCTTGGCAAGAATGGGCGGAATTGATAAGGAACAGAGGCCCTTGGAAGGTTGGGGTTGTGAGGGCTTCAGGATGGATTATTATTTCTTGAATTCAAACACAGAGGCACAAGAGCTCCACGCTCCTGCTGTGGAGAGGGGCAGGGGTAGCCCTTTGGCCCTGGCAGGGGAAGCGTAGAGCAGAAGTGAAGGTCATCTCAGGAGGCCCAGAAGAAGCCATTCGTTGGAGGTGATGCAACTGTGGGCAAATGTTTCCAGCCTCTGGCTCTGGCTGGGTGGCTGCTCAGGGCTGGAGCTAGGACCCTGGAGTCCGGACTCTCTCCAACTCACAGCTGAAAAGGGGCTAGAGAAACCAGGAGGAAGGAAGAAAACATTGAGATGAGAGAAAAAATTAGGTAGGGCTGGGGATTTAGCTCAGTGGTTCTGTAGCCTACCTCACAAGCACAAGGTCCTGAGTTCAATTCCCTGAAACCAAAAATGAATAGAAAGAATTAGCTAGTGAAGGAAACGGGGAAAAAAAACAAACAAACATTGCTAGTTGGCTGAAGGAGGAAAAGGGAGATGAGAGCGGCAGAGCAGCAGCAGGGAGAGCGGAGGAAGAGGAGAGGGAGCCCGAGGGGAGAAAGGCCAGGCAGAAGTGGCCAGGAGGGGAGTAGGCCCAGCACTGGTGGTGATAGGGAAGAGGAGGTGGGGGTGGGGGTGGGGGCGGTGCAGTGGTTGGAGGCCCTAATGAGATTGGAGATGGGCTCTGCCTAAGGAGAGGTGAGTGTGGAGGAAGGAGAGCTTGGAGGCCTTAGGAGACAAAGGCTGAAAGCCTAGGGGCCCAGGGTGCAGGGAAGGGGGGCTCCCTCTCCAGGCTGGCAGCAGAGAGAGTGACAGATTGTATAGTTAGAGTGGAGACCCGCTGTCACCTTCGAGGAGCTCACAGAGACAGACTGACGGAGACCACGTGCAAACAGACCAGGAGAGAAACTCAGAGATGAAGATACTCCAAGATGTGCTGCCATTTTCCGGAAACATCTCCTGCCCCAGCTCCTCCTGCCTGCCTTGCTTCTGTGACCCCAGCATGGCCAGTCTCTGACAAAATAGCACTCTGGCCACTGGGCCACTCCTGGGGAGGGGTCAGGCAGTGTGGCACAGCGAGGGTTAACACCGTCTGCTCTCCCTGCCAGCCGCTTGCCTGGTTGGGTCCCCAGGGCTCCCCACATATGTCACCCCCTCTCCTGCCAAACCCACTGCTTCCCAGCTCCTCCAGGCCCTCCCCCACCCTCAAGGACTGGGCCCAGCCCCTGTGTCTTCCCTACCCTTCCAACTCCCTCCCCCAGCAATCTACCTCCTTAGCCCTGTGGGGATAGAGAGTTTGTGAATCACAATCTGAAAAAGTGAATGCCTGTAAAACGTTAAATCACAACAGTGAATCATAAAGATATGTTCATCCTCCCCACCCCCAAGCCCTGCTCCTCCTGCCCCCCCTCACAATGGAGACCCCCACAGGGTTCTCACTCTTTGGGCAGGCAACCTCCACTGACCTCAGAGTTCTCCCAGCTTCCCGGATCACAATGCCGTGTGCATGAAACTTCTTGCCACCTTTACAGCACTGCACGAATGTGGGGGACTCACTAGAGCGCTTTGCACTTTTTCCCTGCACTGTCCCATCCTTGATTTCCCCAGGATATCACAATAGGCCTTGGAGAAGTCCACATTATCTCCATTTCACACATAGCAAGGTAAAAGCCAGTTAAGCTACTTGTCCCAGGTCCCCAGGCCCCGGACCTAGGTCTAGCTGACTCCAGGTTCACAGATGTCGTCTTTTCCACTATACCATGATTTTAGCTCCTCTTTATCGCATGCGTATATTCATTTCAGTTACTCCCCTAAGGAGCAAAAACAATCCCTGTGGGCAGCGTGGAGATGAGGACCCCAGAGTCCAGGATGCCGTGCTGACAGATGCAGAGGAGAAAGACATGAGCCCTCGCTCCCTCTCATCTACCGTCAAATCTAGGCTCACACTGGGGACAGCTCAGGCTCCACGCTTCATGGAGGCTGCAGGCCTGAAGGGCCTCAGCGTAGCGGTCTATAGCGAGGAAGGCCGGCCAAAGGAGTCTGACTCAGTCCCCTCCTCGCCCATGCCACCCCTCATGGTTCCTTTTTGCTTTGAGGGTCTCTCTAGGTTCTGCACAAGTTGTCCTCAGCACTTACCCTTCAGGACCTGGGTCCCCCATTGCAGCAACAGTCCCTCACCTTCGTCCTTCTGTCTGCTTATCGTGTCTCCCCACCCTGTCTGTCTGCCTCACAACTGTCTTCCCTCTGCTTCTCCCCTGTATCTGTGTCTCCCCTGTGTCTTGGGGCCTCCATCAGACTCTGCCTCGGATTCTCCTCAGAACCTGAGATTCTCCTGGTGTCAGCCTCTCCCCATCACCAAAGAGCCATGTGTCCTCCATGCCGGCGTTCACCCCACCCCGTGACTCCTAATGCTTTCCTCCTCATTTCAGATCTCTATCTGCTCTATCATCCTCCACGCCCTGTATCTCTGTGTTCCTCCCCGTCCTCCCTTTTCCTCTGTCTGTCTTATGTCTCTATCTCCCTCTGACTGAATTCCCATGTCTGTGGTCCCTCCACCTCTGTTCCCCATTGACTTTGATTTTGCACCTTTGTAAATCTCTCCTTGGATCTCTGGCTCCCCTGTCCTCCTCATTTCCCTCTGCCTCTCCTATCTCTCTCCAGCTCTCATTCTTTCTGTAGCTCTCATCTCCCGCACGACACCCTCTCCTGAGTCTCTCGCTCTCCCAATTTCTGGATGGGTTGGAGGGCAGGAGGGTGGGGGAGGTAGAATTGTTGTTGCTGGGGGCTCATTAGGTGGAGATTGGTTTTTAATCAGCACCATGGCAATGATGATGCAAGAACTGAGATGCCACCTGATCCCCTGCCCCCCCAGCCTCCCTCCTCAGGCCTCCTTTCCCCTCCAGCTCAGCCCATCTGCTGGCGCCTGGGCACCTGTCTGGGCCTGCCCAGGTGGGAGTTGGCACCTCCCAGATCTGGGGGCGGGGAGGAGTGGGAACCTGGGGAGGAATTATGGAACTCCCCTTAGGGACCGCCTCACCCTGGAGGAAGCCCAGAAAAGGTTGATCAGCCTCGGAAAAGTGGCACATCTCTCCCACAGGCCAAAGGTGGGCTGTGCTCCTACTAAGGTGTGAGCCCATTACAGCATTAGCACACCTCACCTCCATGGTGACCGAAGAAGCCCATTTTACAGAAAAAGACATTGAGGATCAAGAGGCTGTTGTTTGTCCAAGGTCACATGACGGGCAGTGTTCTTCACTGTATCTCCCGTCCTCTGGGGTCCTCTCTAGTCACGGCTCACTTCGGATACTCACAAAGTTTCAGTGAAGACCTCCAACAGCTGGAAGGGGCATTTCCATGTGGAAACCCCAGCCTCTACGCCCCCTCCCCAATCCCGCCACCCTGCAGTTGACCCACACAGACTCTGGTGTACTCACGCACAGGCACGCTGGGCTATTGGTGTGAACACACTCAGTGCTCATTTGCACAGAATTTTATATCTCCTTTTCCCGTTTATTTGATACCCCATATACTCAAAGCCTACCAGGGCCGCCCCGTCCTCCTCTCCGGGGCCCTTCCAATCCTCTCTAAGCACATCTCCCTTGTCTCCTTTCAGCTCTTACCTCTTTCTTCCAAAAAGCCCCTAATTCTGAATGGGTTAGGTTGGGCTGCTCGGCCTGGAAAAACTCCTGGTAGGGGTCTGTGCCAGAATTTGACTCTGAGCCTAACCAGTGATAGGGTAGGTGAGAGGATGGGGCTGGAGAAGGGGTGTGGGGGTGACTGAGTCTCGGGGTGATGAGGCTAGAGCCTGAACAGCAACTGTGGGCACCTACTCTACAGAGGATGGGAACTCGGTTAGGGTGAGGACGCTCAGGTCCTCTTTTGCCTTTGAATGCTGTCCACTTGCTCTTTTCTCAGTTTCCCTGTTAGTACCTTGGGAAGCTTTCATCACAGGGAAAAAAGGAGTGGAGGTAGAGACTGTGTCAGAGTCACACAGGGACTCTGAATGGGACTAAGGCACTTACACCGCTGCCTCTAGTGTGGGAGGCCGAGGGGGTTCGCCTATGGTCCTGCCCTGGCTCTCGCCCCAGCCCCACCCGTCCCCAGCTCTCCATTTCTTGCTTATGAAATATGCATGGAGAACAGAAGTCTGCTCCCCC